AGAGCGAGCGAGCGAGCGAGCGAGCGAGAGAGAGAGAGAGAGAGAGAGAAAAGCAAGTCCTGTTCTTTCCTGTTCTTTTTATTCCCATTGCCCTTCAAAACTGAAAACGGTGCTTACATTATTTGCATTATTTAAGTTTCATTAGGTATTAGAAGTTTACATTTTCCATTGCGGATCATATTGATTTTATAAACAGGTTAAAAATGTAACTTTAAAAAGACATGACCTCTTAGGACATAGGCTGGGTTTTTTCATCCGTGTCTATGGCAAGCATAGCCCCCTGTGTACAGGGCCAGCCTTAAACAATAAATCAGCCCGAGGATTTCCTTTCCTCGCATGCATCCGTCCCCAGCAACTTCCTCTGTGCTCACTGTGGAGCCCATCAATAGCACGACGCTTCCTAGACCATAATGGGTTTGAAAGTGTGTAGCTACAGGAGCACCAAACCTAGCAATACCGTCACCATAACTATATAGCGTATCATGGGCGCAAAGATTATCAACAGCAGCTAATAAGGAAATAGAACATTATTTAATATATTGTAATAATTTTTACTTGAACTGTATGGACTTTTGCTTTCTGTAATTTTCCATGTGATATTTTCAGTTGGCTGTTGGCTGCCACTTTACTGAAAACTCAGAATGCAAAACCACCAAGAAGAGGCAAGTACTGTAAACAGATTATAGACGTTTACAAACAAAGTACACCTGGCTCACCCTTTCAAACATGGTCCAACATGAAGAGAAATGGCACTGGAAAAGAAGAAACACTATAAGGAAAAAGCAAAGTATGGATTTGGTTTTGCCTAGCATCAGATCACCCTTGAGTGCTGTAAAGTGTTTCTAAAATCCAGATTGTATGTAGTATGATGCTGTAAGCAGCCCAGGAATAAGAGTCCATGCTGAGCTGCTTTCTGTTAACCTCGGGCAACTTGTATTTCTCTAACCATCATTTTGCAACCTATAAAGTGAGAGAAATCGTCCTTGCCTCATTGGGTTGTCAGAATCAAATGATCCCATGCCTTGCTAGTCAGAAGGAACATGTAGACAGGAGGATTACTGTGGACCTTGTAAGACTCTCAGGCCCTATCCTACCCACACAGAATGAATCAGACCCTGAACTGAATCAGGGTCCCCATGTGATACATGTTTCTGTCAAAAGCTGAAAGGCGTTGATAGAGGGTGTAAATGTGTAGTGCCTGTCACAGGAAGAGCTTCATAAATACTACGCAATCGTAGCACGCGCACACACACACACACACACACACACACACACACACACACAAAGCAAGGACCACACAAATCTTTTTACTGTTCATATAAAATATTTCTTCAGAGCGTAACACTCAAATATTAATCCAGAAAGTGTGTGAACAGGCAGTGATGATAGATGGGTGGTATCGGAGATCTATAAGGAGAGAATTAGAGGAGTTGCAGGACTCTTCAGGTAATCAAGGCGCTAAACGGCAACCAACAGGTAATAGTAAAATATCTGAAATTGGGGCAACACCAGCAGCAGTGAGGACTGGGAGGGGATGGTTCAGCGATAGGAACATCTATCTAGTATGTGGAGGCCCTGTGCTGGACGAGGGAAAGAAAAGAATGAAAAATACCAATGGACTTCTCATCTGAGCTGTGTTCTCCTTTAAAACTTTAATATCTCATAGAGAAGATGACTTGGAAGACACTGGCAACTGTTTCTTACATACAGATGTGGAAATACAGGTTTTAGTCCTGCCATGAAAGAGTACCAAAACGGTTTTTGATTTGCACAAGAGGATTGCTCATACTCCATCACTCCCTCACTGCCCACTGAACTGAGGCTTCTCCTGGATATTTTAAATATTCTGTCTGCAATGGGATGTTTCACCCTCCCCAACGCACTGTATCAATGAGGACAAGGCTCTGGGGATCAAACGTGTTAAGTGCTTTGCTCCTATTACAGATTTCACAAAAGCAAGGTTGAATTCTCTTCCCCCTCACACATATGTCTGCATTGTTTCTGCTCAGAAGTGCAGCTCCCCACTTAGTGAATCTGCTGACTTAAATGGATCCCTCCATAGTTACACAAGAGGTAACACTCATCTTCAGATTCTCATAGATTATTTATTTCGTTGAATGAACAAATGCACAAACTAACGAGCCACATCACCCCTCTGCTCCCTCTGACACACATCCCTCCTCACTTTACTCTGCCTTCCCAGTAGTGAAAGCATCAGGAGAGAATAGACAGAATTCTTTTTACAAGACACATGGGACACATGAAATCAAACTATTTCCTCCAGCCTGTGCAGGTGTCTAGAGTGAGCAGTCTATTCTCTGCTTCCTTCTTGTATTGGTGTGTTCTTTGATCTTGCCTTCGTACCACAGCACGAAAGCAAGAAGTGCATCGATGGCGCCCTGAGCTTCAGAGAGGGAGCAGAGGATGGCTCTGAGGTTCTGTGCTCAAAACTTCATGATAATCTGGAAAATAGTTACATTAGTTAATTTTTCTTATTGCCATGACAAAATTCCTCAAAAAAACAGTTTTAAAAAGGAAAGGGTTTATTTTGATATACAATTCAGAAAGATATAGTCCATCATGGTGGGGAAGGGAGAAACTAAAAGCCAATTAGTCTATTTTGCATTTTCCAGTCAGGAAGCTAGGTGTGAACAGGAAGTGGGTCCAGGCCATAAAACCACGGGCCTTCCTCTACCAACTCACTTCCTCTAGCAAGGCTCCACTTCCTAGTAAAAGTCTACAGCCTTCCCAAGCAGTGCCACCAGGTAGGAATCAAATGTTGAAATAAAGGAGCCTATGGGAGGTATACTACATTTAAGCCTTACCATTCTCTACTTGGCCCCCATAAATGCATGACCATCTCATGGTCACGATCTTATGGAAAATGCATTCATTCCAACCTCTAAAATCATCATATTCTGTAACAATCCCAACACTGTTCAGAAGTTCAAATGCTCCTCTGAGACTCCAGGCAATCTCTTAATTGTGAGTCTTCTTTTTTTTTTTTCCTGGTGTAACCCTTTTGTTATGTTGTGCTTTGTTTGGGTCTGACAGGAGGTTTTAAAATGCTATGCTTTAGAATACCTGAGGGTGCCTCCTTTGAACACCAGAACAATGCCCACACAGGAGCAATTCAAGGCAGATCAGTGAGCTTTTCTAAGAACAGACACTAGAAAGCACCAGGAATGGCAGCAAAATACATCTTACTGTTAGTGCTGCACATGCACACATATGTGTGCTCCACACATACACACTTGCACTCATACATTTCTACTGACTGTATACTCCAATTGCAATCTGCATTGGTTTTTAATTGCACACACAAAGAGGAAGAGGGACATTTGCTGACTCCTCTGCAAGAAGGCTGGGTCTGGACAGAAGGAAAAGCTGTTCCCTCTTCTGCTTCAAACTCTGTGTTGCTCTTTGAATAGAAGCTCTAAGTTGTTCTTAGAGAAGTTTCCAAGATTTAGGAAACAGCTCATTGTAGCAGGGAAGCTGTTTGTTTGTCCCAGCCGCCCAGAACTGAAATAATCACACAGCCTTTTTCAAGCCCTCCAATTTGTAGTAAGGAGGCTGCTTGCTCATTTCTGGCTGTTCAGCCCAGAAATAATCACACAGAAACTCTGTTGTTTACATCACTGCTTGGCCTGTTAGCTCTAGCTTCTTATTGGCTAACTCTTACATATGAATTTAACCCATTTCTATTAATCTGTATATCACTACATGGCTGTGGCTTACCAGCTAAAGTTCCAGAGTCTGTTTCTGGCAGGGCTACATGACGTCTCTCTGACTCCACCTCCTTTCTCCCAGCATTCCGTTTAGTTTTCATTGCCTAGCTCTTTCTGCCATGCTCTGCTATGGGCTCAAAGCAGTCCTTTATTAACCAATGATATTCACAGCCTATACAGGGGAATCCTACATCAGCCCATATGTCCATAATCTTTCTCTTCATTACTTCTAACATATTGCAGGAACTAAAAGTCAGATCTCTGTAAGTCCAACTATAACTTCACAGTACAAGAAAGAAATAAGTTTGGAGAGGATCACTCTGAAACATGATAATAATTCAAATTATCTTAAGTAGAGAACAAGATGCAATTGGTAGACATAAAGAAAATGTTTTTGTTTGTTTGCAGCTCTGGGGTTGAACCTAGGGTCTCACACACACTACTGAAATGCTTTGCCACTGAAATATAGACGTCTCCTTGACAACCAGACTCCCCTCCTTTTCTTTTTTAATAAAGGTCATTCTACCATGTTTAAAGCAATAGTTTATTGTGATTTTATACATATTTAATATATAACTGGTATATAATTTTAAATACACATTTTAATATATTTACACATAACTTTTAATACATATTTAAAATCTGTACACTATAGGAGAAATAACCCTTTAAGGTGGGGGAATAATTATCCTATATCCCTGCAATCTGTCAAATTTAATTTGCTTACCTTATCTGATAAATGTTTCCAGTATCTTCTAAAGCACAAAAATAACCCCTCTATTTTTTGTGTGTGGCTATGAGTTAAAAGTAAAACAGAATTCTATGGCAATATCTGTGAGAATCTACCAGTGCAAAGTGAGATAAGA